GAGCAGGGAGCCCGATGTGGGACTCGATCCCGGGACTCCAGGATCATGACCTGAGCCGAAGGCAGTCGCTTAACCAACTGAGCCACCCAGGCGCCCTTTAGTACATAGTTTTCTAACAACAAAGTCAGTTCAGCTGGATCCTAAGATCTAGTATCTACTGGAAAACTTTAACATTCTTACTCTAGGATTATTATACTAGTAGGATTAATAGAAATAATTGGCATAGCAGAAAGCAAAGTTCAGGTTTTGACACTAAAGCTAACAGCTAAGAAACAACATTTATAATTATTTTCTGATTTTAAGTATAAAATCCTTAATAACTATGCTTAAAATATAACCGTTTCCCCACAATTAAAATGTGTACAATGGTAAATTCTACAGAAAACTAGGACTACTCTTTATATATCTCAAAAAGTTGGACTATATCAACAAATGTATATGTAATGATTTAAATTACCTTTCCTCTTCTCGAACCCATACTGGAGTTTTAGGAATTTGTGCTTCAAAAAACTTAGATGCTTTATAACAAAAATTGCTGCAAAAACACTGAAAGGAACATTTTTAAAATTAGCAAATTATTTTTTTCTTATTGTGCAACACAATTTATGTACAGAAAATATAAATACGTAGTGCAAAGAAAATAATGAAAACGCAAGAATCCACCACCCAAGAAAAGAAATAATGTATAGTACCTTTGAAGCTCTCCATGTATCTGTCCCAGAGTCATTTCCATATTCCCCAGAAGTAATCACTATCATAAATTCTGTGTTCCTCATTCCCTTGCTTTCCTTTAGTTTTGCTATCTATATACACATACCTACAAAAGATATCATTCAGTTTTGCCTAATTCTAAACTTCGTGTAAATGTAACTGTACTGCTATGTTTTCTGGGGTTTTTTTGTTCCACGTTATATTTTTCAGATTCATGTAGGTGTAGCTTATATATTTACGCTCGGTATTACATTCCATTGTGTAAGTACATTACCTTTATTGTTTATGAATAATTGAGTTGTTTCTAACTTTTTGGCCATCACTACAATGTGCCTATAAACACTTTTTTAAGAATTTTTAAAATTAAAAAAAATTGTTGTAAAATACACAAAATTTACCAACTTAACCATTTTTAAGTGTTATAGTTCAGTGGCACTAAACCTTCTCACTGTAGTACAACCATCACCACCATCTATCTCTAGAACTCTTTTCATCTTGCAAAATGAAACTCTATACCATTAAACAACAACTCCCATTTCTGCCTCTTCAATCACCATTCTACTTTTGTAACTATGAATCCAACTACTCTAGTTACCTCACATAAGTTGAAGCATTTAATATTTGTTCTTTTGTGCAGGCTTATTTCACTTAGCATAAGGTCTCATAAGAGCATAATGTCTTAAAGTACATTCATGTTGTAGCATGTGTCAGAATTTCCCTCCTTTAAAAGGATAATATTCCATTCTATGTATATAGCATATTTTGTTAATCCAACTAGGAACATTCATATACATACATAGTTGTACAAATGGGCAAGAAATTCCTTAAAATATATACCAAACAACAGAAAGTCTTGGCCATAAAAAATGTGTGAACTTGACTTTATTAGATAATACCAATTTCCCAAAAAGGATGCAATTTTATTTAACCAGTAGTATAAAGAGTTCCTAATATTTAACCAGTAGTATAAAGAATGCCTAATATTGTCAGATTTTAATTTTGCTAATTTGGGGGTTGTGAGAATGTAAATCAATGTGTTTTTATTTTTTATTTGCTATTTCCCTTACTACTGATGAGGTTGAACATCTTTTCATATATTCATAATCAAGTTCCTTCTATAAAATTTTTCTAGGGGTACCTGGGTGGCTCAGTTGGTTAAGCATCTGACTCAATTTTGGCTCAGGTCATGGTCTCGGGGTTGTGAGATAGAGCCCGCTGTCAAAACTCCACACTCAGCTTGAGATTCTTTCTCCCTCTCTCTCTGCCTGCCCCCCCCCACCTGACTCACTCACTCTCTCAAAAAAAATTTTTTCTGCAAGGTTTTCTGTCTTTCCCTGGTTATGAATCTGTGGTCAGTTATATGTGGGAAATACACCTCCTTCTGATTTATAGCTTATCTTTTCACTCTTTTTTGGAAACTTCTGATAAGCAAATGTTTTTAACTTTAATGTAGAAAGACTTCCAATTTTTCCTCTATGGTCTGTAATTGTCTATCTTATTTAAGAAATTTTCTCTCCAAGTTTATAAAGATACCTTCCCATATTCTCTTTAAAAAGGCGTTTATCTTTTTAATTTAAATATTACTGAAACAGGGATCAATTTTCAGTTTTTCCATCTGGATTTGTGCCAGTACTATTTTACTGAAAAATCCATACTTTCTCCACTGATCTATAATATTTCTGTTGTCACATATAAAGTGTCCACATGTGGTGAGTCTGCTTCTGGCTCTCTATTTTGTTTCATAATTTACTTGCCTGAATTTGTGCTGGTATGCACTTTTAGTTTTTATTTTATTTATTTAAATTTTATTTTATTTTTAGAGCAAGAAAGAGAGCATGAACAGGAGGAGGGAGGGGCAGAGAGGAGACAGAGAGAGAGAGAACCCCAAGCAGGCTCCACGCTCAGCATGGGAGCCAGATGCAGGACTTGATCTCACTACCCTAGGATCATGACCTGAGCCGAAATCAAGAGTCAGACGCTTAACCGACTGAGCCACCCAGGTGCCCTTGCACTTTTAATTTTTAAATGTTCAAGTATTAATTAAAGCAAAGCTTTAATTTTCAAATATTTTCAAATATTAGATATTTTTCAAATAAACTTTTTCAAATATTTTTGAAATATTTTCAAATAAACTTTTAATGTGGCTACTTTCTAAAAGGCAAACTTTTCAAACAATTCTTTTTAAATTCCATTTAGTATATTAAAAATTAACTGCCACATGAGAATAGCCTTTAAGCTTACCTTTCTTTCAGTAATATCATAGACTTTATTGGTTTTGGTAGAAATTTTATATTTCTGTTTTGGTACCTAAAAAAACGAAAGTATAGCTTAAGAAGAATTCAAGTATCATATCATATCTTTGGCTAACTCATGTAATTAGTTCATGACCTGTTTCATTTCTTGTCTTGTCTACAAAGTATTTTGCTAAATATAAAAAATTTAAGTTTCTATTTTAAAAAATTAATTACTTACAATTCCTAGTTTCTTCTGACATAAGGGATAACCGCAGAGTTTAATAATAGAACGCTCATCCACGACATCGCTATAGTGAGCAGGTGTGATGAACTTCCCCTAAAATGAAATGAGAGGGGCATTTCCCCGCTAGATTACTGGACAAGTTCATTTATCATCTCTCTCAGCCTCACTGATCTCATCTGAAAACGTAGGGATAATAAGTCTATCTCACAGGTATGATGTTAGAATCAGAGGAGAAAATAAAGGAAATACATTTAGAAAAGCACTGGACACATAGTAAGCACTCAAAAATGTTAGCTATTATTTTCTTTTAAAGAGTTGTATTTAAAAAAAAAAAATTTTTTTTAAATTTACTTGAGAGAGAGAGAGAGCACAAGTAGGCAGAGTGGCAGGCACAGGGAGAGGGAAAAGCAGGCTCTCTGCTGAGCAGGGAGCCCAATGCAGGGCTTGATCCCAGGACCCTGGGATCACAACCTGAGCTGAAGGCAGACACTTAACCGAATGAGCCACCCAGGCGCCCCAAATGTTAGCTATTATTAAAAAAAACAACCCGAAAAAACTTCTGCCAAGAGACTATACATCTTTGTAGATATATAGTTCATGAAATAATTCTGAGGCAGGAGAAAGAAATGGTGCTATAGTGATTGCTATTCCAAAGCAAAACACTGAAAAGTATATTTTATTTTAAGAATATATTATTCAGGGGCACCTGGGTGGCTTAGTCCTTAAGCATCTGCCTTTGGCTCAGGTCATGATCCCAGGGTCCTGGGATCAAGCCCCGCATTGGGCCCCCTCTCCTACTCCCCCTACTTGTGTTCCCTCTCTAGCTGTGTCTCTCTCTGTCAAATAAATAAATAAAATCTTTAAAAAAATAAAAAATAAAAATATATTATTCAAAAAATAAACCATGTAGAATAAAATATAATTTACCTGTTTTCAAAGAACTATCTTAAAAAACGAAGTATATCAAAGGTGTCAGGATACAAAATCTTCCAGCTTCTGGAAAACTGTACAGGAGACTGATGAGGTGGCTATAAGCTGACACCAAATATTTCCCCTTGATGTATCTTCATGTTTAAATCTCAACTCATAACTATTTCATAACTTTGAGATCATTTTTGAACAAGTTTTTCTGTTTTCCCAAGGACTGAAATACTTCTTACTAAGAGTGATAGAAGGTATTTGTTTCAAATGAAGCATTTCTGGTTTGTCTTTGTCTTTAGTGTCATCATGCATGCAGATTCTGATGTAGTTACCTCTATCAATTTAAATATTGTCCTACTTATATTCCTCTTGTTTAGAAAAATCTCTGACCCACACTAATAATTATTTTTGCAATGGAAGCTCTGAGTTTTAATTTTCCTTTTCTTTTTTCTCTTAAGGATTATGAGGATATAATAGAAATTTCCATTTGAAATTTTAATGCAATAGAGTTGTTAAAGGAAAAAAAACTTTTAATGCAGATTATAATTCTCGTGTTATGTGTTAAATGATAAATGATCTATATTCTAGGTTTTTAAAATATCAAAACTAATAGAACTACATTAATAAAAATAATAACCTTCTGTTACTAAAATAGGACAACACACAGAATATGGAAAATAACATCGGGATAATTAGTGCAAAGTGCTGAAAATCAAGTGAGATTAGCAGACATATTTAAAGAACTACTATTAAGGGGTAAAATATGCATATTATTTTTCATTAGTGCATTTTAAAATCATACAACAAGGAATGCCTAATAGGTGATTATTTTCAAATGCGTGAATTATATAGCATGCTACTTGCATCTAGTGACTGAGAACAGATTCAAAGTTTTGATAATACAAGGAAGTCTCATATTGCACAGATTTAAAGATCTAATACTACAAATGTAATAATTTCCCAACTTAACACATACGCATTCCCTTAGGAATTCTTCTGTAATATCTTCTTCTAAAAGCTGTTCAACAATATGTAGAGCTTTTCTCTCAAATTCAATCTTCTTTCTCACAGCTGCTTCTAGTTCTGCTTTCCTAAAATTAAAAAATGAAAACGTATTTAAAATTTAAAAGTTTGGGGCGCCTGGGTGGCTCAGAGGGTTAAGCATCTGCCTTCCGCTCAGGTTATGATCTCCAGATCCTAGGGTCGAGTCCTGAGTTGGGCTCTCAACTCAGCGGGGAGTCTGCTTCTCCCTCACCCTCTGCCTCTGTCCTTGCTTGTGCTCCCTCTGTCTCTCTCTTCTCATGAATAAAATCTTTAAAAAGTAAAATAAAATAAAATTTAAAAGTTATTCTACTTAAAAGTTTTATCATAGCCAATTTTCTGTCTTAGAACACAGCACAAACATGCTATTTTGCTATTTAAATTTGTATTTTTTAATGCTGTTACTTTTGATACAATACTTTTCAAAGTATTAACACATAGAAGTCTGCCACAATAACAGGACTATTTGATTTCCAAGGCTTAGAGCACAAGGAAGAAAATGAGGTGAAATTTTTTTGCCAGTTAGTGATTATACTCTCTCAATTACTCCTGTGTGCACCTAAAAAGACAGGCTTTTCCTTTGAAATCCTTAGAAATCAGGAAAGATCAGAGAGGAAAAAGATAACTTCAGCTGTTCTTACAAGTAAAAATGTATTTGTGCCAACTCTCAAAAGTTAATGATAGCCCAGTTTGACAAGATAGAGTCCTATTTGCAAAGAAGTGTTTACTTACTTTTGTTATTAAGTCTTATTAAATAACTGTATCGACATGACAATGTAGTTTAGGAAAACAATCTTCCTACGAGGGCTGGTCCTTGCCCTGGCACCAGTGGGACTGTCAGCCTTTGCTAGCTGTCAGCCTTTCCACACCATGGAACATAACGATAAACAATGGCTCTAGGAGAGTGGTTCTCAATCCTAGCTGCACATTAGGATCATCTAAGGAGATTTCTTTAAAAGATTTTATGCCTAGGTCCCACTGCAAGCTCCAGATAATCCTAATGTGCAAAAGGGTTGAGAAACCTTGCCATAGAACCAAAGATACTCAACCATCTTGGTAACCTATTTGCTCCTATCCTGCACTGGTTTCTCCTTTCCTACCAGAACTACCTCAGCCAGCCTCCTGGGCCTTGACTTGGCTCTCATATCTGGATCTATAATGTATTCATTTTTTCGTCCTACTTTCACTGACTCTCAAGACTTTAGACTCTAATTCCTTGCCTAGAAAAATAATATTCTACAAAACAAATATAACGTGTATTAATAATATGCTACAAAAAAGAAGGATGATGCCGGATTGCCAACTCTTTCTTTTGCCAAATAGGGACATTAAAACAAGAAGGAATTTGCAACTAACAACTGTTCTCCTACGATTTCATAAAGGCCATTCTTATATCAAAGGAGTATAAAAGACATGAATACAGATTTAAAAGCAGTTTTTTATGTTAAATGTATTTGGCTTTATGAAAAACATTATTTTATTTTTCTCATATTGCTGCCTACCAATAAAAGCTATGCCATATACTAGGATCAGTCTAACAACCCACACGAAGGAATTGCTACCTCAACCTGCAGTAAGTTACACTCACTCTTAACTGATGCCTAGAGCTGCTCCCATGAACAGCCCTATCTCGCTGTTGCCCTCTGTCCTAAATGATGACAGGTAGTATGGTGTACAGCAGTGGTTCTCAAATTTTTTGGTCTCAGCATTCCTTTACACTTTTAAAATTAGAACTTCTGCTTATGTAGATTATATGAATTGATATTTACCATACTTGGATTAAAAATGAGAAAAATTTAAAGCACTTATTAATGCATGTAAAAATAGTAATTACATGTTAATAACTTTTTAAATAAAAAACTTAGTGAAAAGAGTAGAATTATTTTATATCTTTGCAAAGTTCTTTAATTTCTGGCTTAATAGTATTTGGTTGGATTGAATGTAGAAGTATTTTTCAGTTGGCATAGATTTATAAAGGATCACTTCCTTCAACAACTATTTGGTTACCTATCTCCATGGATTTTTAACTGTTTCATCATCCAGGGTAATCTGTCCACAATACATTCTAGTGTATTTATACTTCCCACACTGTACTGCTCAGAATAAAATATAATCTCCGTGGGTTTGTGGTCAGATCACTATTGAGGAAAGTTGCAAATTACCATCATTATCAATATTAACTTTACTCTTGCAGTGTATCATAAAACCAAGTCAATACAATTATGCTGCTCCACAGGGAAATATTCTCTAAAATAGATCACAAGGGGCACTTCGGTGGTATAGTCAGTTAAGTGTCTGACTCTTGGTTTCCATTCAGGTCGTGATGTCAGGATCATGGGATTGAACCCCTCATCAGACTTCTCTGTTCCACTAGAAAGGAACTGTGTTTATTCTGTTCAAAACTATATCCTGAAGGCCTAACACAGGTCTGGAACATCTCAAATTTGGTAAATAATTTTTCAAAGAATGAGTAAATGAAAGCCAATACCTGCCTGATGAAGGATAAATCATAGAGGTGCCTGGGTGGCTCAGTTGGTTAAGCATCTGACTCGACTTCAGCTCATGATCTCAGGGTCATGAGATCAAGCCTTGCATCAGGCTCTGTGTTCCATGGGGGAGTCTGAGATTCTCTCTTTCCCTCTCCTTCTGCCCCTCCCCACAGCCCCCCCACACCTGCACTCACTCTCTCTCTAAAAAAAATAAATCTTTTTTTTTTAAAAAAAGGATAAACCATAGACATATGTATTTTAATCACTTTCACAGACTACTCCTAGTCTAGAAACTTCTTTGTGACAGGAGCTAAATCTAGCCTTTTTAGGAGATGCCAAGAAACAGAATAGGACTTTTTGCTGAAAATACAGACATGATGTAAACAAACAACTGTAAAGGTTTCTTGGAGTCTCTGGCATATAAAGTAATAAAAGGCAAGTGTACCTGAAGAGGTGGAAAAGGAATACCTGGTTAAATCAGGAATGTTTATTTCCTTAATCTTTCTACAGATACTCATACTTTCACCAGCAATCTAAAAGTGTCTTGATTTGGTTTTCTTAAAGCCTGGAATGGAGAGATATAATGAGTCTATATGAGAATTTATAGTGCTTCTCAGATCTTCCCCTTCTCTCCCATAATAATTTTTTCTAAGGTATCACCCATTACTGTTTTTTGTTTTTTTTTTTAAAGATTTTGTTTATTTATTTATTTGACAGAGAGAGAGAAACAGCATGAGAGGGGATAGGGTCAGAGGGAGAAGCAGGCTCCCGCTGAGCCGGGAGCCCGATGTGGGACTGGATCCCAGGACTCAGGTATCATGACCTGAGCCGAAGGCAGTCGCTTAACCAACTGAGCCACCCAGGCGCCCCCATTACTGTTTTTAAAAATGGTTCAATTAATATGAAATAAACACATAAGCAAATGCATTTGTCCAAGTAGTTCTCATACCTTTTAGAAGCATCTTCTTGTTTTAAGGCATTTGTCTGTTTAGCACCTACAATAATAAAAAAACAGTAGGTCAAGTCTTCAGAAACACACTAGCTTACAGGACAGATTCCTACTCAAACTGCAGACAACCTTTTCTTCTTTTCCCCACACATTACTTTCCAATCCTGTGTGTAAAATAAATGAAATGGGCAGGGAATTCGGTTTGCTTGTGTTATTTCCGAATTTCTCTTGGTTAAAATGTGTTTCTTTGGGGATTGAATTTTCTCACGTATCACGGCTGGGCGGTTACGTCCTCCTGAAAATCTGAGATATGAGTACTTTTACGGGCAACCTGTTTCTGTCCCCCGAATGTTCGGGGGGTGGGGGTGACACCTCAGAGGACCCGGGGACCAAAGCAGCAGTACATCTCTACGGTGGGCTCACTTGACCACTCTGGCGAGCCAGCTCTAGACTCCAGCACCTCTACTCCCTTTCCCTCAGAGACAGCCCATTCTGGGGGAAATCTTGGAACACTAGTGTAAAGAGGTGGGGATATGGCCGGAGGTCTTTTCAAGAAGACCCAGGACAGTGATGAGACGCTCTCGGCCTTCTCTGCCCTGGAGACCTCCGCTCCTGGAGCAGTCTTTCCGGTGCGCCCCGCGGGCCTTACTGTGGAACCCTGTAGGGGCTCAGTTCTCAGGGTGCAAACGTGAGAGAGGCCCTTCTTCCTACCTGCGGCGTTTCGGGAGGCGCGGGGTACCCGGGCCTTGAGGCGCGGAGAGCGCGGCCCCGCGGAGTCAGCCATCCGCAGCGTCGTCAGGAGGTGAGGCCCGGACCTGGCGTCTCCCTTTGAGGCTCCGCCTCCCCTCGCGTAGCGCGGGGCGGGGCCGGCCGGGGCGGGGCGGGGCCCGGAGAGAGGCCTGCGCTGCCGGAGGAGGTGGAGGAGGGCGCCGAGAGCGGCGAGAGGCCCGGCGGGTAAGTGGACGCACCTGGGAGTCCGGGAGGGCCCGGGCTCGCGGCCACCTGTGAGCCGCGGAGGACCCGGCGCCACGGCCCGCAAGGCCCCGCGAGGTCATGGGGCCCGAACGCCTAGGCGAGGAGGAATCGGGAGAAATGGCTTCCCTTGGATGCAGTCCGCACGCGCGCTGGGGTTTTATCCGCCCTGGAGCGCGCGGCCGTGCGGACCGGCTGACCTGTGCTCCCGCTGCGGGCCTGGGGCCGGGTCTTCGCGCTGGGACGAACGATGGCCTGCGGGACGGAACGGTGTTCTCCTGAGCGCTGCTGGTTGCTTCGTCTCCGTGCAATATAGGGATTACACCATCTGGATTATTTGGGGGACTGCATCTCTTACAGAAAAATGTTCGGGTCACACTTGGGACGGTGGGCATCTGAACTTTCACCCACTCTGGGTGAGTTGTATTGGCTCCAGTTTTTGTCAAGGGGGACATTGAAAAAAATTTTAATTCCCTAATTACTAGAACTGACTTCAGGAACACTTTTCAGAAATTTTTTCAGAAAAGAAATACTTTGCCTTTTTAAAGCCATTTATTTAGTCCATATTTGCTCTCCTGTTGGGCATACCCTAGAGGATTTTTTTTTTCAAGTGTATCTTTCAAAACTGTTCTCCTAGAAAACTTAAAAGATGCAAGTTTTTTACTCCTTAGGCTAAGATGCTTTCAGTAAAAACATTTCAGCATTAAAACTTCACATTTTCCTTACTGTATTTACTAATAATTCATCAGAATGAAACACAACTTACTAACACTTTAATAGCACTGATAGTTTACTGTTTTATATTTCAGCATCAAAACTAGGAAAAATAACGAGGAATGGCTGTGGAAGAGCTTCAATCCATAATAATGAGATGTGTAAGTAACTTTTTTTCTTTTTAATGAAAGTTAAATACCAGATTATTTTTAGTTATAATTAAGGTCATTCAAATTGCTTATCTTATTTAATCCTTGCTTTGTTTGACCTGTGAATAAATAGCAGGAGGGCCAGAAGGCAGATTGGATTATTTCTCCAAGTGACCTACTTGTTTAACCTTTTAAATTTTTAATACTGATCCTTATTGGAGAATTTTTTGGCGGACTGGGTTTCAAGATCATTCATTAAAGTACTTTTTAGGCTTATTCTAATTTTCACATATATGCTATGTGCAACTTACCTAGAATTTAAACAGATTTACTTTTTTTTTCCAGAGAGAATAAATCAAGTAGTTATTGAATTTTTATTCACCAAAACATGTTTGTTTTGCCTTCATTTTGTTTCTGTCAGCAAATCCTAGAAGAACAAGACTTTAAAGAAGAAGATTTTGGCCTATTTCAGTTAGCAGGCCAAAGATGCATAGATGAAGGGCATATAGAGCAGCTATTAGAAATTATTCAAAATGAAAAGAATAAGGTAAGTACAATCTTTATGAGTCCTTTTTAGCCTTTACTGGGAAGATAACAGCCACATGATACTATTATTTGTCCACTCATTTATTTATCAAATATTTAAGAATTAAATTTCTACAGTAAGAAAGTGGAAAACAAAAAAGGAATTAGGGCTATTCATATACTTGAAGGTGCTTATAGTCTGGTGGAAGAGATAAGTATGTAAACTAGCAATAAGAAGGCACAAAAAATGAAATAAGTGATAGTTGAAGTGTAAGTAAAATACTTTAAAATAAAAGCAGGGATTACGTCTGGTTTAGGGATCAAAGGTGGCATTTGGATTATTAATTTACATTTAGTACTATAAGTATCAGGCAACCTGGATACTCATTTTTGGTGATCAGCACATTCTCTTCCTTCAGCCAGATGTATATAGAAAACCAAATATTAAGTAAGATAATTTTTGGGGGGCGCCTGGGTGGCTCAGTCAGTTAAGCGTCTGCCTTCTGTTCAGGTCATGATCCTGGGATCCTGGGATTGAGCCCCACATCGGGCTCCCTGCTCAGTAGGGAATCTGCTTCTCCCTCTCCCTCTGCCCCCTCCCTTGCTCGTTTTCTCTCTCTCTCTATCTCAAATAAATAAATAAAATCTTAAAAAAAGAAGGATAATATTTGGGTGCATAGAATCAGAATAGGAGGAGACCTAGATGGCCTCACTGGCTGATACCATACAGCTGTGATTATCTGAGAGGTCATTCTCAACAATGGGAAAAGGATCTTTGGGGGATCAGGAACTTTTTCTTGGGACACAGTGTTGGCAACACTGCCAAATTTTGTGTCTTTGTACTCGCCTTCTTATACAAGAAAAGACCATCTTCTTTCCAGGAATACACTCTTTCTTCATTTACAGTACTATTTATTTACATGAAAGGTTTCTTTGTTGATATCACAGTCTAGTCATGCTGGCCTCTGATTATAACCAGGGCACCTTGATTGTGTTCAGGAGATTACTAAAACTTTTAAACCACACATAGTAGTTCAAAGGGCTTATTCCTTTTTTATTAAAAATAATTTTTTAAAGAAAAATTAGGACATTTCATTTAATACATTTGTTTTTGATATGTGTTTATGGAACCTTTGTAGCCCCAAATACAGTAAATTTAATATTTTCTTTAACTCCTTGATATTTCCCAATTGTGTTCTCAGAGGATAACCTTTGAGAGTACCTTACTTATAGCTAATAATAATAAATTTAATAACGGCTAATACTTAAGTATTTACCATGTGCCAGATGCTGTCCTAAATGCTTTACATGTGTTAACTCATTTAGCTTCCCAGAATCCCATAAGGTACTATTAAGTTCATTTTGTAGATAAGGAAACAGTCGCTGAAAGATAAGTGACTTGTCCAGAAGTAACTCAGTTTTTATGTAACATCTAGGGTTCAGACCTGTGCATCCTGGTTTCAGAGCTCTTAACCACTCTCCAGTTAGCACTGTGTGGTACTTAGAAGGAAGTTTTAGAGTGTTACCAGGGACTAATTGATTGTGGGGCTGAGAGAGAGAGATGACAAAGATGACTGGGTTTCTAGCGCCGAAGAGAATAATATATTATATCCTGAACAGAAAAGGGCAACCTAAAAAGAGAGAATTTCTTGAAGGAGTGTAAGTAAATTTACTTTGGAAATGTTTAGTTTAAGTGGCAGCAGGCAGTTGAAAAGTAACGTTTGGAGCTCAGTCAAGAAACAGGAGATTAAAATGTAGAATTGTGCATCACTATTAGAAATTAGGTGATTGGGGCACCTGGGTGGCTCAGTCACTTAAGCATCCGACTCCTGACTTCATGATCTCTGGGTTGTGGGATCCAGCCCTGTGTCAGGGCTTCGTGCTCAGCAGGGAGTCTGCTGGAGATTGTCCTCCCTCTGCCCTCTCCCTCTTCTCTCCCTCTCTCTCTCCCTCTGTAAAATAAATAAGTCCTTAAAAAAAATTAGGTGATTGTGTTAACTAGAATTTAAATAAACACTTGAAACAAAAAAAAAAAAACTGAAAGAAAATTAGGTGATTGTGATATTTTTGAGCATAGTGAGTTTGTCTTAATAACTTGAGAATCACTTTTGGAATGTGTGGTCTGCTAAATTCAAAGGTTCAGACACTGATAGGACAGTGTTTCAAACTGACTGCGACTTAATTTTCTTGCCAGGTGACGCAATCAGGATTGATCAAGATTTACTATTACTCTGTGTAAATTAAAAAGAAAAAAAAGCCATATGAATAGTTTGTCCTATAGTACAGGGCTTCTCAACAATAGTACTCAGGTATTTTTTAGTAACCCCCTGCCCCCCACTCTGTAATGACAATCAAAATTGTCTCCAGATTGCCAAATGTCCCCTGGTAGATAACAAAATTGCCCCTATTGAAAACTACTGGTGCAGTGGGAAACACATGGGCTTTGGAGCTGGACAGATTTATATGCAGTTCCTGGTTCTGCCACATTTATTTGATATTTGGGCGTGTCAGTAATCTCTAAACTTTGGCATTCTCATCTGTCATTTGGGGATAATCTTACTCTGTAGATAGTTAGTATTAAACTAAACAAGGTGTAGTTTATGGTTAGTATTGATTCCCCTTCCTTATATTCACTATTTACAGAATGACTAGATACCTGGCAGCTGAAATGATGTTTGTAAAATATTTTATCAAAATTATTTTTTTTCATTTCACATATGCAAAATCTTATCCAAATCTATAATTTCCCATATAGTTAATTATTCTCAGAGAATCACTTATAGGGTAGAAGTACACCAATGGAAAGGGAAAGAAGTGCTTAGTTGGAAAAGTAGAGTCTAACAGGAGCTAGTTAAGTTTTAAAAAGCAAGTATAGTCTTAATTAATGTTGGAATAAGGTAGTTTGGAAAAAAATTAATAAGCTCATAATATAAATTTCTGATTAAAGGCCTAAATATTAGGGGCACCTGGGTGGCTCAGTTGGTTAAGCATCTGCCTTTGGCTCAGGTCATGATCCCAGGGTCCTGGGATTGAGCCCTGCATCAGGCTCTCTGCTCAGAGGGAAGCCTGCTTCTCCCTCTCCTCATGTGTGTGCTTGCTCTCTCTCTCATTCTGACAAATAAATAAAATTTAAAGACCTAAATATTAAAAGTCTAGCCACACAAAAAAATAGAAGAAAACAGAACAGAATGTCAAATCTTTGGAGGGAGGAGGATAATTTGTTACACTTAAAGATAACAGATACTATTTAACCTGTATTTATGGAGCACCTTTTTATAACAGGCTCTTGTCTAGATGCCAGGAATAGATATAGCAGTAAACAAAAAATCACTGTCCATATGGATCTTAAATTCTAATGAAGACAGGAATCTACATGAAAAATTATATAGTATGTTAGATACTATAGAGAAAAATAAAGCATAGCTGGGGGATGGACCATGCTAGGTGAAATTGCAGAGATTTGACAGAAGGAGGGGTGTAAACCATGGGGCTGTCTGGGAGAAGAGTGTGCCAGGCAGAGGAAATAACTAGTATGAAAATATTTAGAGAAAACAGCTGAACTGTCTTTCCCGTTAGATAAAATGGATGATTGTTTTGCTATTTATTTTTTTCTTTTTTTTAAAGATTTTATTTATTTATTCATGAGAAACAGAGAGAGGCAGAGGCAGAGGGAGAAGCAGGCCCCCCGCGGAGCAGGGAGCCCAGTGCGGGACTCGATCCCAGGACCCTGGGATCACGACCTGAGCCGAAGGCAGACGCTTAACCGACTGAGCCACCCAGGCGTCCCTTGCTATTTATTTTTTAAAAATCAATTTAAGCCTTCATTTTATGCCATTTTTTAAAAAGATTTTATTGGTGTTTATACGCAAACAATGAATCATGGAACACATCAAAAACTAATGATGTAATGTATGGTGATTAACATAACATAATAAAAAAAAAAGATTTTATTTATTTGAGAGAGAGAGCACGCACGCATCTGCACGCGCATGAGTGGGGGATAGGCAGAGGGACAAGCAGACTCCCTACTGAGCACAGAGCCTGACACGGGGCTTGATCTCATGACCTGAGCCAAAATCCAGACCTGAACACCTAACCAGCTGAGCCACCCAGGTGCCCCTTACTTCATGTTTTTAGTATAAATCTTACTGAGTAAAAAGAAAGGTGAAATGTATATATATTTAAATGTAAATGAATGTTTATGAATCCCTAAAAGGGGGAATCCATTTTAGATCTAAAAGCCAGTAGGAAAGGAACCAAAGAAAAATAAGTATATTTTGCTATATAAAAAAATAAGGACAACCAAAACACCAAGTAATTATTTGTCATAAATACAAGAAGGGAATATTAACATGTAGGGAGCTCATGCAGATTGATAAAGACAGACGCTAAAATGTCCAATTGATAAATGAGCAAAAGTATAAACAGTATTTCCTCTTTTGTGAGTTATATGTTCATATACCCTAACATATTCTGTTGCTAGTTCTCTAGGACATGTTAAGTCTTACATCTTTACACATTGCTATTTCAGAGCCTTAAATATATTTCCCACCTATCTATGCCTGACACATTTCCCTAACAAGCCTTAGCTTAGCCATTGCCTCTTCTGGGAAGCCTTTCTTGCCTTTCCTAGATGGAAGTGACAGTTCTCCTGCTATACCTTATACTCTACCTTGATTATCTTGTAAGACTGAGATCATGGCGGGGGTTATTGTACTTAATTGTCTTCTTCCTATATGTGTGTGTTTTGTTTTTTGTTTTTAATGAGTGAACCTAGAATGTAACTCTATCAGGATGGAGATCTTACCTTGCCTTATTTCTAGCACCAGAATATTTTAGGGACTTGACATACAGTAGTATATTCTTGATAAATACTGATGAGTTAAAATAGAAAGCAGGCCAGAGAAATGGAGTATATTGTTGCTAGTTCCGAAAATAGTGGTTTTGATCATGAATGTGAATCACTAATTAAAAAGATAAACTTTTACTTGTGTGGTAAATATTCTGAAATATCTTTGAAAATAGAAGTAACTTAAATGTAGGAGAGAAAATAAAGTGGCATCCCCTTCTTTTACGTAAGTTACATAATCGTAATATATGTACAGATTTTCCAAGGAACTTTAAAACGTTCATAAGCATTGGATGGATTTCTTCATGAATCAGGAGAGCAAAATTCTCCATGAAAATAAGTGTTTGCTCACAAATTAACTCTCTTGTTGGAAATAGAGGAACTATTTAAATTGTGAAAAAGACCAGCTTACCTGATTTAAAATAAATGCCCATTCACCTTTCCTCAGTGAGAGTATTAAAAACTATCTTAAAATGTTGATAGTTGTTAGCAGCCAACCCTAAGAAGTCAGGGTGAAATGCTGTAGGCTTCATTTGCCTCATCTTAGCTATTTCAGAGGAAATTTTAAGCTCCTTCATTCAAGGTAAGAAAGTTCACCGTAAGAGTCCTATAGATGGCAGTATCTTCTTTACTCTGAAAATGTTTTTACAGGTCATTATCAAGAATATGGGCTGGAATCTTGTTGGTCCTGTTGTTCGATGTCTTTTGTGGAATAAGGACGATGGGAAAAGAAAATATTATTTTCTGATGCTTGATTTATTGGTAAAGGTAAGTTAACAAAATGAGGTACTCTTTGTCCCAATAGCCAGCAGTATTTTGTAATTCCCTTTAATGTTTAATGCTCATTTTGGGTGACAAAGCTTTTTGTTCATGAAAATATAGAGAATTCTTTGAAGAAAAGGCCCAATTTTATTGGTTGGATGGGCAAGTCCATTTCAGTTTTTCCAAATTTCTGGATATAAGAATTATCTAACCTCATCTCAGACCCACTGATTCAAAATCTCCAGGAAGATACCTAAGAAGTTTTATTTTTAATAATAGCTTACTGTATAGATGTGGAATTCAGGGTTTAGTGAGGCAATTAGTTCAAAGCCACACTGTTCTTTTAGCAGCATTGGAACTAGCAAATCTCAGTGTTCTTTTCTCTGTGGTATATTCTCTAAAAGAATATCAGAAACCTAGAATGCAAATGATCACAGGGGATATAGGAAGAGGAAGTAGATTTGTTGCAACCAACAACCTTAGAGACTTTTGATAAAAGGTTACTAGAGTTATAAGTCAAAAATGATGGTATAGGAGGATAAGGAAAAGGACATTATAAGAAGCTACCTAGAGATCAGTCCAAATAAAAATATATACTTGGAAAGAGGAAACCCCATCTAGATAGTAGTTATTAACTATGAGGACTTTTCAAAAAGGCAGGTGAGGTAATTCTGGCTAGTCAGAAGACAATGCAAAGTTTTATCTGTTCAGAAAGTACAAAAGAGACTGTATTCATGTTAATACCCTGGCAGTGTGAGATAGAAAGGTCCCACCTGCTGAAGTCCTGGGAAACTAAGGCAGCTTTCAGAGTAGACAGGCAAAGCTCAAAGGAAACCTCAGTTCTGATAATCAAGTTCTTCTTTCTCCCTATTTTTCTAACTTTTCCTTTAGCCAGGAATTTAAGTCTCCAAAATATAGTTGTCTACTTTTTTAAAGAATTTATTTGAGAGAGAGAGCACAAGCAGGGGAGAGGGGCAGAGGCAGAGGGAGAAGCAGACTCCCCGCTGAGCAGGGAGCCCAATGCAGGACTCAATCCCAGCACCCTGGGATCATGACCTGAGCTGAAGGCAGACCCTTAACCGACCAAACCACCCAGGCACCCTTGTCTATTTTTTTTTTTTTAAGATTTTATTTATTTATTTGAGAGAGAGTGAGGGAGATGGGGAGGGAGAGAGAATCTGAAGCAGTCTTCACACTGAGCACAGAGCCCAATGAAGGGCTCGATCACACAACCGTGACATCATGACCAAAGCCAAAACCAAGAGTCAGAGGCTTAACTAACTGAGCCACTCAGGCACCCCAAATATAGTTGTCTATTAAGAGACTTATGACTTCTTGCTTCTTTGTAGTTTTACAGTGATTTGACAGTCAGAGTCTATGTTTTGTTAGTGTATTTTTTTAACAAGTGTATGAGGTGTTTTACTGTTAAGCAAAAATAATCATATTTTCTTAGTATGTGCTGCCTTTTAAAAATAGTAATCATGTGGCTTTAAATACAACTTGTATTAAACAGGTTCAATTGTGAATATTTTTATAGTTGTGTAATCCAAAGGAATTATTGTTGGGTTTGCTTGAACTGATTGAAGAGCCCTCTGGAAAACAGATATCCCAAATTATTCTTCTTTTACTTCAGCCATTACAAACAGGTAATGAGTATTTTGATATCTAAGTGTTTCTTATTTTATCTGTGTTAAGTTCTTGATATTACTCCAAAATGTCAGCACTATACCAAAGTAAAATTTATGACTAATTATTGAGTACTCTGCTTAAACTAGCAGTAGCAGTACCAATTTGAATCCTGCTGCCTAGACAAAGATGACAATACCTGGCACTGATGGGTACCTAATTTTGACATTTGTTGAATGTCATGCTGTTTTTCTGGTATTATGTTATAATCTATAGCTTTCTGCCTAACCTTCCTATCTACAACATTAATCTAGAATTTTCCCTGTAAACATATTTAAAGGATTGCTTCTGTGATGTCTGCTTTACTCTGTCTGTTAGCATTGTGGTAGGTCCTGTATCTTGGTTAAGAACAGTATCGCACAGGCATTGCTCATCCTCTGCACTGGGAAGTCGGGGCTGGGAATAGCAAAAGAACTACTGAATGAAACAAGTGTAGGAAGAAAAGTCTCCATGATTGAGTGCAGTAACATTATTGTTAAGCAATGGACCTTGGCAACCAAAGCAGACAGTATTTATCCATGGGAAGAGACTACTTTTTCATTTTATAACTTACATATAACTCAGAGTCTGATAGAAGGACCCAGCATCTAGAAGTGAGAGTAGATTCATTTTAAATGAGAATGAAGCAGCTTTGTACCGCCTAAAATATTCAAAGTCTCCTAGAAAGGAAAATACAGTAAAACTACCTCTCATTTTTACATTATATTTTACAAAGGCACTTTCTCTTATTTGATACTTGCAACAACCAAAAATAATGGAACGAAGTGTTTCTGTCTTATCTATGTAAACCGTTAGAAACAAACTTAAACAAGATTTCATGGCATCTGTTGTAAGGTGCCATGATTGTAAGATGATCCAATATTTCATGCACCCCTAAGAAGAATAAAAACACTACCAATTAAGTTATGATATGTCATCCTGATTTCAAAGTTGTTATAATGTTTTTTTTTTTAAACGTGTTATAATTCTACATTTACTGGACTTCTGGTCCCATGTGTAGCATACTTGATGAAGCTACCTCAAGTCACAACTTGGTCTCTGTTTCAGTGATTCAGAAACTTCATAACAACAAGGCATATTCGGTGGGATTAGCATTGTCCACTCTTTGGAGTCAGCTGTCTCTCCTTCCTGTTCCGTACTCAGAAGAACAAATACAAACAGATGACTATGGCCTTTGTCAGTGTTGCAATGCCTTAATAGGGTTCACTAAGCCTTTTGTGGAAGAAGTCATTAATGACAAAGAAAACTCACTGGAAGATGAAAATGAAAAGTTAAAGGATGAATTACTGAAATTGTAAGTACATTTTTGGTAACATTTCACAATGGAATTAAGTAACCGATCAGTTATTTTATGTTTCTTTGTTGTATTTGTTTGCCATGGACATATAAATCTAGTTTCAGGTTTTGAATTTTAGAAGATTCTGGGGTGCTTCATTAAATGCCATGTTCTGCATTTTTAAAAATTAAAAACCAAAATCCATTTGTTTAATTTACTTTATATTCTTCTATGACTTACTTTTATTCATCATAGTAAGTGAATAATTAAAGTGGGGGAAATAGGTATAGCTCAGAGAATCTGGTCTTTCTGTGGGGGAATTGTGTTTTTACTCTCCTTTTGAAAGCAACAGAAGCAGCACCAGACAGTTGAACATCCAACTTGACCACAAAAATGGTAACAGAGTACCCAACAGCATTCAGTCTAGGGGCACTATACAGTAAACATGCGCTGTTCAGTGTGGCTGTCAAGCATTTGATGTATGGCTAGTCCAGATTAAGATGTGCTCTAAGTATAAAATGCTCCTTGGATTTTGAAAACTTGTTATTAAAAAAAATACTAAAATACCTCAAGAATTTTTTTTTTTTTAAGATTTTATTTATTTATTTGACACAGAGACAGACACACACAGCAAGATAGAGAACACAAGCAGGGGCAGAGGGAGAGGGAGAAGCAGGCTTCCCGCAGAGCCGGGAGCCCGGTGTGGGGCTTGATCCCAGGACCCTGGGATCATGACCTGAGCCGAAGGCAGACGCTTAACCATCTAAGCCACCCAGGCGCCCCTCAGTAATTTTCATACTGACATATTGAGATAATACTTCAGATATATTGGGTTAATAAGAAAAGTTACTACTTTCCCTTTTCTTTTTTAATGTGACTACTAAAAGATTTTAAA